GAAGTAATATGCAAAAAGGTTATGGGGAGGTAGCCTCTCGCCATCAACACATTCTCAAAAGGGCTCATGACTCTTTCCCGAGTTAAAAATCACTAAGGTAGTTGATTCTCAGGCAGAGCCTGGGCAACCTCTTAGATCTCACAGATGCCACCATCATATGTGTTTCAAAATTCCTTCTGTTCACACATTGAGGCTTCTATGGAAAATATCTGCTTTACTTTCATAGGTTGGAGGCCTGAAATTTTAATCCTTACATATTCATTTAGGCTAATAAGCATTTTTTTTCAAAGTGCTCATATGAAAGAAGCATCCAACATCTATCCATCATTCATGTGTTAGCAAGAATCACATCACTAGGTTGGTTTTATATTCCTACATGTCCTAAAGTAATAGCGATTTTGAACAGGCAGGGTGAGAAGTATGAAGAACGTTGAAGGTCTAAGTAGGGGTCCACAGAGAAATGTTTTAAAATTAGGGTACTGGGAACCTAAAAGGTTACGGAAGGCATCTGCATCAGTGGGGTATGTGAAGAAAGAGAAGTCAGACTATACAAGGAACAATTTTAAACAGTGATTTTCCAGACCAGTTGTATGATGAAGAAATAGATAGAAAAGTCTTCCTTTTTTCTTTTCCTCCCCCATATTTATCATATGCAGACTCCTCACGATAAACAACTGAGGAATAGACCATTTGCACCATAAGAACCAGGTTTGAACAATGTTCAGGCACAGAGGCAGACAGAACTGGTTCCCAGTCGTGGCTCTGCCATTTGCTGACCATGTAGCCTTGAGAGATTAATTTAACCTCTGTCTGTACAATGGCAATGATAATTTGTACTTCATAAGATAATTTTGAGGACTAAATTTATGTAAAGTAATAATTACAGTGCTTCGAACTAACAAGAGTTCAATAAATGGCTGTGTTACCACAACTCGGCTAGGTTATGGACCAAACAGGCAATTTGTGGACCGGTTTAAAAACACAACTATGTTTTTATGGGACATTTCCATGTTCCAAGCAATTGGCTTTGATTTAGTCTTCATTTATACAAACGTTTAAATACATACTTACTTTAAAAACTCAATTTACTTTTTAAAGGAACTGCTGATCTTTCCACTGCCGATCTTTTTTTACTTACTTATCTCTTCAGCTGTTACCATATTAATCTCACAACTAATATAAGCTCCAGCCTGAATTGAGGGTTCCTTGGGAGCAAGGACTGTGTTTTATTGAATAATCATTGAGCATCTATATGCCAAAAACTGGACATGGAAATATTTATACAATATAGTTCCTCATGGGCTTAAATTCTACCTGAAGAAAATGATATACAAATATAATTCAAGATAGTGTGTATTATAATAAAGATGTGCACCAAGAACTATGGAGCACAATGAAAGAAGAAATTCATTTTATCTGAACTGACAAGGAAATCTTAATAAAGGGGGTGACATTCAAACTGGGCTAAATGTGCATGAAAGTCAATAAAAAATGAAAAGGACTTTAGGGAACGGAGAGATACACATGAGCTGCTACTGCAGGCAAAGATTCCTAAGTGGACTACAGTTTATTTGGACCTTGAATACAGAAGATAAAGACAAAAAGTAAAACAGCTTGCTATGCATCTAGGCATGTATATCATAGCAAGATGTACTATTAGGGAATAGTAACCTGGTTGATGGGAAAGATTAGAGTGATGCTACCTTGGAACTAGACTCTGCAGAGCCCTAGAACTAGCCAAGGAAGTTCCCTGGACTGGGGAGTTCCAAGGACTTTTGCAAGAAGCAAAAAAGGGGGATTATACATTCTAAAACCAAGGCACTATATGTAGCATGGTAAAAGCAGAGTCGGAGGAGCTTATTCCAGCAGTGATGTTGTAGGTTAAGATGGCAGATAAGATCACCTTGAAAGCAGTTTCATTAATGAGTGTGTAACCTGTTGTAGGTCTAAGCTAGTATGTCTTTGGAGAGCAACTATAAAGATTCAAACATGACGTTTTGTGAATATCATCTGGGATATTTGAACAATAATTTCACTGACAAATATAGCAAAGGTAGCATGGAAGAGGATGAATTGTTTCTTAAGTGAACAAAATTTATTTAGTGTCATCTATATGTCAAGTATCATGTGACAATATATAGTGCTATCATACATGTGCATTTATATAATATGCATACTTTTCACTCAGTAGCTGTGTCATTCTGTATATCTTATTTCCTCAAATAATCCATTTCTGCTGGGCAGGATCTCATCTCATATTTCTCATATATTATAGAGCCTACCACCATAAAGAACATAAGGTCAGCATTTAATAAAATTGTATTGTCTGGTCAAATAACTGAAGCCAGAATTATCAGGCCTCGGTGGATTCCATTCTTATTCACTGCCAACTCCAAGTCCTAGGTGGAGTTGGCAGTGAATAAGAATGGAATCCACTTTTTTTTATTGCTATAGAACTTCCGAATATCGATGGAGTGGGAAAAGTTCCAAAAGGTGCCAAGTCATTCTAGACAATAAAACTATGGTTCACTTTATCTTGTGATAGCCAGTAGAACAAATTTTATGGATCTAAGACATCAGAGGACATAGTGAGAAATCATGTTTCCTGTTTATCTGGCTGTGTTTTTCCTTTAAAAATGTGATCTTAAAAAGGAGGGGTTGGGGGGGTGGGCCGGCCTAGTGGCAAGTTGGTTAAGAGTTGACTTGGGGGCCGGTAGAGTGGCACAGTGGTTAAGAGCTGGCTTGGGACGCCAGAGGGCCCCGGTTCAGATCCCACATATGAGGGCCAGTGACGTTGCGCCTTCTACAGCTAAGATGGTGAACAACAGCTCAACCTGGAGCTGGGCTGCCATTAGTCGCTGGGGACGGCGTAGGCTGCAGTGGGGCTGGCCAGCAGCTGGTATGAGCTTTCGTGAGCTGCCGTGATCCTCCGTGAGCAGCTGTCCAATGGCCGGTGAGCGACTGCCTGACCCAGGAAGAGAGCAATGATAATACCAACATGGACCAGTGAAGTGATGTCCTCCACAACTAGACTGAAGAACAAAAGGACAGCAATTTGTCTGTTCCCCTCCCCCAATTCCCCAATAAAATCTTTTAAAAAAGGGGGGATGGTGGGGGATGGAGGGCAGGAATAAGAGAGTAGATCAGTCCAGTCACTCATAGCAGCATATTTACTTCACCAGAAAAAAATGACTTTAATTGCACAGAGATAGAAAAATATGTTTGAATGTCTTTCCTGGATAAGATTCTGGGCTTTCATGTGAGAATAAAATACACATTTACAGTAACTTTAGATTTGGGGGTAGAATTTACAGCTCTTGTCCATCAACATATCATAATGGATGAATGTGACACTGACATAATGGCCCTCGTTTGAGCACTTTTAGAAAGAGGTGGAGAATGGTTACAGTGCAGTAGGGAGTTTAAAATTTTAAGGATGTTTTCAATGAGAAACAACACCTACTCAAAATAAGTTGGCAAATCCGTGTTCAGAATCTGTGTTGTCATTCTAATGTTCAGGAACGGCTAAGGAAGGAAAGAGAATCTCAAGGTCACAGGGAATAGTCTTCAGAGTATTCTTCTAGGGCTTATCTGTGCTCACATGCCTAATTTTTTTCCAAGTGCAAAGAAAGGCCACTTGCTTGAGACAGGCCCAGTGCCATCCTTTATTCGAGTTCCTTTATATTCCTCTTTTTAAAGAAGCTGTCAAGTTCTTTTTTTGCAGCTGACAGAAAAGGCCAAATCTGTGGTACAGGAAAGGAGGCGCAAAAAGAAACTTTTTTGTGTTGATGTTTTACTAAGTGAGCTAAGGAGAATTTTAGAATCATGTAATTTACTCTGGAGGCATTTACTGTACATAGCTATAGTGATGGTAATTTCTTTCATTGTTGAAGTGAAAAGATAACCATCAATCAGTTGTCAATTGGTCAATTGCAAAAGTGATGAAAAGAAACTAGTAGGAACAATCACTTCTGTGGCTACCTAGACCATTTGTAGGCTTAAGAAAAGTATGGGAACTGGATTGTGTTTTAAAAAGGGATTGGACCAGGTTTTCAAAAAGGTTAATAGACGTAACTTCCTTGTAAAGAATGGCTTTGCAGTTATACATAATAAGGAAATGCATTTGTAAAAATGAAAAATGAAAAAGATATGGGATTAGTTAACGTAGTAAATTTTTTTTATTATTATTAAACTAGGTATCAGGTAAGTAAGCTCCACAACATTGAATTTCAGTGTGTTCTTAGTGAAGGAAATATATATATATATAGCTTACTATTAACTCAACACATGTATTTTAAAACAAATTAATGAAAATTACTTTGTACTTATGCCTTAGCCTTAGTATTGAGCACTTTGAAATAAATAACTTTAAAAGTATTTATCATAAGAAATTGGAAGTCCCAGTGAATTTTGAACACTATTAAGCAAACATCTACAAGTAATTTAAATTTTAAAACCTAAGGAAGCTCACAGAAAGGTTAAGATAAATTTTAAAACCATTAACTTGCATAAAAGGCAAGTGGCACTTTGGGATTTAGTGTTATAAGCAAGATTTAATTTTAATTTCTCCTATTTTCCTAAGAATAGCAATGTTATTGATTTATTCTGAGAGTTCCCCCCACACACAGTGATTTTTCTTTTCTTTTTTTTTCTTTTTTTTTTTTTTACTGTGGTAGGTAATAAAAAGGATTACAGGCCCCCAGAAGGATGAGATATCATCAGTTTGTAATCCAGCCCATGGTTTCCTAGATACCGTATTGTCTATTCTGTTCCGCTATGTGAAAAATGTTGAATATCAACAATGGGTTTCAGTGCTGTATTGTTGAGTTTTGTATGAACTAATCTAGCTTCACTAAGAAAAAAAAAAGAGAGAAAGAAAGAAGAAAAAAAGGGAAAAAAAAGAACCACAGCTTTGGACAAAAGTCTATAGCTAGTGCATTTGAAACTCCCCTTGCACAAGGGCTGACTGTAGCTGAGAGAAGACAGTTTACTCATTTGCTCTCTCCTTTCATACAGTCAGCTGGCCCTCTTCTCAGGTGTAGATCACCTATTATCATTTCACCTGCTTTGATTTTCTGATGAGGAAAGTCCCAGGACTTATCAGCTGGGATAGGCCTCTGTTCAGTGTTTGGAAGGTAAGCTATTTGCACAACTTCTCTGCTCTAGTGTGCTGGCCTAGCTCTAGAACTTTACAGCCTATCACTTATTTTTAACTTTCACTTTTTCTTCTCTCTTCCTCTTTTGGAGAAAGAAAACCTGACAGGTTTCTCCCGGAAAAGTGGCCATCCATGGAATGGATGAAAGGTTCCTTTCTATTCCAGTAAGTAATTGACTTGTAACTAAAAATTGAACTGGCTGCTATGTCAATTGCAATGTGAGCTGCTGCTGGCACAGGTGTTGCTTACTCTTTAGCCTGGAAAGAAAGGGGCTTAACCTATGATTAAATTTCAAGTTAGTTGACCTCAACATGATAGTACATAATTCTCACTTGCCTACGGAATGGCCTGAGTTCTTATTTTGACCGTGGTTCTGACACCTGCTTTTTTAATGTTTGGTGTAGCTAAAGCTAGAGTTGCTCTTTTGGTTAGAAATAAAGTGGGTGGAGAACAGTTCTAAGTAAATAACAATGTTCAGCTGACTAAGTCTTTAATCCAGTGCTCAATGTGTTCTATTTTTTAATACATAAACTCTTAAGTTCATGTAAATTATTATTTAAACTTTTATTTTAAAAAGTGTGGATTCATGGACAACTATTTTATTGCTAGAGCTAGACAGCAAATACAAATCAATGAATTACAAACAAGCAAAGAATTATGATGCTAAGGGCTTTCAAATGTTTAACTTTGATGATGGAGCCTGTTATAGGCTCTTTAAATATGCCTTGCACTTTAGTGATTATTTTAGCCCTAGGAATGAAATGGCAACATTGTTTTTCCTAGTTTCTGTTAATCAAACAAAAGACTGTTTAACTTTAGCAAGATGGCACTATTTTGGAGTTTTGGAGACAAACCTATATCTACTTTCCAAAAGCAAAATAAAAATCAGTGACATCTAAAATTACCATTTACACCTGAAGCTATTCTCCATTCATTTTATGTAAAATGGTTGCATGCTAAGACTTGGTCTGTAAGGTGAGAGCAGCGTGGACTGTTGTTTCTTTCTTTCTCCCTTTCTTTTTAACCTGAGACTCAGAGTTAGTGCTGATGATGCTTGCTTAACCCTGCTGTTGGTGCCAGGCTGTGATGGGCTCTCTGTGAAACCATTTCTGACCCTCTGTGTGCAGTGGTGAGCCTGAATTTTTCCCCTTCCTTGCCCATCACTGTCAGTCAATTATGGGATTGAACTGAACCAGAAAATCTGGTACAGTCTGGTAATTAGTACAAAGGGTTTCCAGTCTAGTGTAAAGACGGAGATGCAAGAGCCCCAGCAGTTACAGAAATCGTTTTGATTGGCCGTGGACATTGCCTTTTAGTGCTGCTTACTGACTTCCTAAAGATATTGCCTCCTACCCTACAGGTCTTCTCCTTCAAGTACATTATGAACCTTTTTTAAAGTGATGTGTGTGTGTGTGTGTGTGTGTGTTTCTTTTTTTAGATCCAACTTCTCCCATTTTTAGTCTGTCATTTTTGCCTATCAAACAGACACATTTTGACTTGCCCAACAAAGAACCAAGTTATCAACACTCACAGAAACTGACATTTTTAATTCAGGCTTCATTATGTCTTTGAATTATGACAGTGAAGTACAAAGACATTTTAAGAGTTTTTTCATTATTTTTTTTAATCCAGCATTGGGATGTTTATCTTTCTTTAGTATTCATATTTCCTTTTCTACCTTTATTCTCAGTAATATATAATTAGCATTATCAAAACCATCAGCGATTATCCTTTATGACTTTTGACCTTTATTTTTTAAATATGTCTCAAGCTACCATTCTCTGAAATAAGTAAAAACTCCATGAGAGATTTTAATGAAATATTTTAAGGTTATAAAAACAATGAAATAATTAGATACAGGGAACAAACTGATGGTTGCTAGAAGGGAGGGGGATGGGTCAATGGGTGAGAAAGGTGAAGGAATTATGAAGTACAACTTGGTTGTAACAAAATAGTTACAGGGATGAGAAATATAGTATGGGAAATATAGTCAATAATATTGTAAAAACTACATATGGTGTCAGATGGGTGCTAGACTTATGGGGGATCACTTCATAAATTATATAAATGTCTAACCACTATGCTGTACACCTGAAACGAATATAACATAATATTGAATGTCAACTATAATTTAAAAAATATATAGTCACAGAATGTGAAGTACAGCATAGGGAATATAGTCAATGGTACTGTAATAGCTATGGACAGTGACAGAGGGGTAGTATACTTGTTGGGGTTATCACTTTTTGAGGGGTGTAAATGTCTAATTACTATGTTGTTTTGTACACCTGAAACTAATAACAAAATATTAAATTAAATTAAAAAACACAGCATCTCTGCAGCACAATAAAGTGAAGTGCAATAAAAGGAGGTATGCCTGTATAAAGGTTTCACTTCTTTTCTATAAACAAAGGAGGTTTGTTTTGGTGACTAATAAAATGTAGTTGCAAACCAAAAAAAAAAAGAAAGAAAGAAAGAATTTAAAATGTGAATCTCTTTTAAACATCGACAGTACATGACTAGGCAATAATGGATTACATGATAAACTATAACAACAAAATAAATTTCAGAAAAAAATATTTTGTAAATCAAGCTTGCATTTGATGGTAAGTGCAATTTTATAGCCTATTTTTGATCACACATTTTTAACTACTACTTTAGAGTTCCTGGATTATTTTCAATGCTATTTTTGGATAAATTACATTTTTTTGCAAAAGCAAACATCCTCTTTAATTATAGATCACAATCACTCATTAGTCACACATTAGATACAATGAAAGCATTTGGTAGCTTGTCACTGCCCACAAAAGATAGATATATATATAGTTAAGGGGAGATTAATTCTGACACCTTGTACAAAACTGCAAAAGCAACAGTGCCCAAAATAACAGAAGCAAAATAAAGCACAAGGTTTTTCATTTTCAAGAATGCTATTTTTAGAACAATCCACATCGTGATTTTAGTTGTGATGCATGTATGTTGTGTATTTTCTCGAGGATTCTTTATTTACCCACATCTTAATGTAGCTTTAAATATCTGTTTTATCCTATGTACAATCTTAAAAGTAGTTATGTTTCCATGTCTGCTACTGATTTTTACATGTATGACTTGCTATTAAATTTCAAGAAAGGTTAATATTGCTTTTGTAACCCTGTCATGAGTAATGCATTTTCCCAGTAAACATATCATAATTGTAAAGGCTGTTCAAGAAGCGTTTCTGTTGTAATAGTTTCGCATTCATTTCTCTATTGTTTTTTAACCATAATATAGTGTAATGCTTTGAAAAAAATACACATATTTATATAATTAACACTTTTTGTTTTTAACAAAACCTTGCCCATTATAAACTAAAAAGGTCTTAGAAAATCATATAAATGGGCAAGTTTTCAGTGACCATATTTGCACTGAATTTTAATTCACCATCAAGTCTATAAATTGAAATGTATCCATAAAGTAACTAAGGGAAGAGTACATTCTGATAATATTGTTCTTATTTTTTAATCTAAGATATATGTTGAAATTCAAAAGGTGCTTGACACACGTCGTATGGCAGTGTTCTATGTTCTGTAATAGCTGAAAGCTGCGTGGATCTGTATAAAATTACAGGGATTCACAGGCTTTAATAAGGACACAAACATTCTTTTCTACCTCAATCTTCACTTCCAGTGGCAGGCGAAAGACTTGGAAAGAATCCTAAAGATTCTCTAGCCTCATAATTTTCAAACTCTGTACCCTTGAGCTCTTAGGTTCTTTGAGGATACTCAGGGCCATAGGGGAGGGGAGGCCAAGTGGCCTCTTACCTCCTTGGGACGAGAGCATCTCTGCTTTTATCTGCTGTGTCTATTAGAGTTCCATGTAAGATAGAAATCCCATGCTGAAGGAAAAACAGTAGAAAAAATTACTAACTGAGGCCATCTTTTAGATAAGGAAAACAGGGTTTACTTAAGGTGGCAGACTGAGTCAGTGACAATATCAATTTTGTAGTCCAATCTCTTGTCCCCTAGTCCTAAACTCACTCTACTAAAGTACAATAAACTTCCCCTACATAATCACGAATCTTTTTGTGTAATCCTCCTAAGCTATATTATTAAAAACACACCCTAAGAGATCCACAGCCCTACGTTGAAAATCAAGATACTTACTAAGGATACAGCATCTAGGTGGCAAATGCAATCCAGTAACATGCTGTTGACCAAAATCAAGCCCTTCATTTGGCAATATCATTAAGTGTGGGTACATCTTTACAGCGCTTGGGTAAAATATTGATTCACCTCTTACTTAGCAAAGTAATATCTTGGGAGAATTTTTAAATTTTTTAATTGTGGTAAGACATACATAAAACATATCTTAACTGTTGTTAAGTGTAAAGTTCAGTAGTGTTAATTATATTCATGTCGTGCTTGGGGGGGTTTTTCACAGTGGAAAAAATTAACTAGGACTCAAATCCAAAAGAAAGAGAATTAAAGTACAGCTGGATTAAGATGCAATTTTTCCCAAAACATGTTTTATGAAATACTACTCCTATAAACTGTGCCAGGAAAAAGAGTAAAATGATTAAACAATTTTTGGAAATGTAGCATACTATGTCCCTCTCTATGGAATTCACAATGAAAATTCGTTTTTGAAAAAACTATAAAAAATTGTACTGTAAAGATCTCTTTGAGCTTTGTGTAATATAGAGTATCCCAAACTATTTTTCTATAGACTTGCTCTACATTTTTTGAAAAAAAAATCTGTTTTTATTCTTTAGGGATAATGTTTTATTGAACGCATTTTGGGAAATCCTCCTCTAATAGAATTTTAGAAGTTAAAAAAAAAAAAGAAAAAAGAAAAAAAAGACCTGTAAGGTAATATTTACATTAACTGGCTCTGTATTTACCAATCCTTTATCTTCATCTTATAGATAGAATATTGATAGACATCTCATTAACTCGATCACTCAACAAATATTTAGGCACAGTGCCAAATTCTGGGAATACAGCCATGAGTAAATCAATCAGGGCCCCTGACCTTACAGAGTTTATAATCCTAGTGTTTATAAAAGAAAATACAGTGAACACATGCACTATTAGCTGTTTCTGGCACTCATAGTTTATCAGGCTATATTTGTTTTGTTTTCCCTAACTCTAAAATGAGAGAAGAGAGAAAAAAAGCAAAAAAAAAA